GATCACTTTGAGCCGGGTAATCCCCTAATAAATCACCATGTTATATTATATATAGATGATGTCACCATATGTCACCATGACATCCCGATTCATATCCACATTCTCTGAATCCAAAAGGCTCATGAACTGCTGATGCCAGCTGCAACACTTCTGGCGCACTTCGCATCAGCACGGCTTCCTTGCAGTGATTGCAGACCAACATGTTGCTATCTCCAGCGATGTAGGTATGTTTATTCACCCAATTGACTGTAGATATCTACCATAAAAGCTACGGAGAAAAAAACACATAGTTAATCTAAACCAACTTAGGTCATGCTGGGGCATCACCGAGCGTAGATACCCCTTTGGAAAAAACATCGCTTCGAGCGTCATGAGAAAACGCCATGTTCACCAGCAAATTTCGATGAACAAATAGGTTAAGTCAACCCGAATTGGTATAGGTTTCATAACCAGGGATTATGACACCCATAAACCATTACTGTAATTACTAGGTACAAGTACCATACTAAGTAGTACCATATAATAGTCCTACTATAGGTTTAAGTAGAACGACTGTAACAAGTACATAAACCATATTTATAAACCAATGTTAGTTACAATGTTATAAAGCACCATAGTCAGTACTACATAGTACTACCATAAACCATAGTTAGTTATACAATGTTAAAAGCCAACTTACCAATGGTTCGGGCACCCCACGTCCAATATATTTGAAGCCACTTGGGTCGCCCAGGAGCTTCAGGCTCCGGGCTTATTTTGCCCGGTGCTGTGGCGAACTTGGAGGCAGGCACCTCAAGCATGCTCGATCTGATGCCTAAAGCAAGATTTAACTACTGAAAATGGAGGTTAAAGCAGCAAAGAGCTGGTTTTTACATTTGATTCATGATAGCTCAGCATAGTGAAACTAGTTTTTTGATTTATAACCACAATAACTGTTGGATTTAGGCTAGATAGTACGAACTAGCTTAGTTGATGCGGTGACATGCGGTGACAACTAACGAAAAACCATTACTGAGGGGCACAACGTCGTAGTGATGAGATTCCTATATGTCTAACATAATGTGTACCTGTCAAGAAACTTCCGAGACTTCATCCCGGGTTCTATGGGCTCGTGAAATCCTTAGTTGTCCTGGTGACATTTTCATGGTTAACCCAAACCCAATAATTAAAAACATTTAATAACTATCCTTAAATCATGGGTTGAAAACCCTCCGAAAAATGGTAGTTAGGTTTATGGCTTTGTGTTGACCAAATCTTCATGAATCAATATCACCATTTGAAATGGAAAAAATAACCTTCAGAAATGGCAACGTTATGCATTGGGCTTACCTAATTTTTATGAAACCCACGACTGGATAACGATTTTTGTAAATGTTAGTAGAATAGTAAAGCGATAGGATCCACCATGCCCCAATTTTACCATTTGTTGGGTGGTATAATGTGGTATATACAATAACAAACTGACAGTTAGAATTCAAATATAACGGATTCATGGGTATGAATTGACGTTTTATAAAACGTAATCATACCGAAAAACTGCAGTTAGAATACCAAAAACCTAGGTACAGTACAGTTAGAAGATTAATGAACATTACATATAGAGAGCGGGTAGTCATGGGGGGCGAGGTTGTGAAAGTCCTGATTTTGTTATATTAGTCACTAAATTCAGAATTATATCAGTCATTACATTAATCATAATATTAATCATTGTAATATTCATTATATAAGTCATGGAATGAATCATTAGATTAATCATGATATATATCATGGTAGGACTCATGATATTAATCGTTATATTAAGCATTAAATGTATGTAAAAACATTATAATAGTCGCTTTATAAACCATTTAAAGAATCATTCAACTTAATCACTATAGTTATCATTCTATGAACCAATTATATCATTCTATTTATCATTCATTAATCATGATATTAATCGTTATATAAGTCAATAAATGAAAAAAATATCAGCCATTACATAAATCATTATATTAATCATTTTATTAGTCATTAAATGAATCATGAAATGAATCATTAGATTTATCATGAAATGAATCATTATTTAAGTCATTGTACAGAAAATTATACTACCCATTAAATTAACCATTAAATGAATCATCATATGTATAATCATTATTTTAGTCATATTAAAAATCATTATATTAGTCATTTTATTAACCATTATATTAGTCATTCAGATTAATCATTATATTATTCATTATACTAGTCATTGAATTAATCTTTTTACTAGTCATGGTATTCATCATTTTATTCATCATGATATGAATCATATTAGTCATTATATTAGTCATTGTACTAATCATTTTAATATCCATTATACTAGTCAATGTATTTGTCATTAAATTAATCATTATATTAACCACGTTATTAATCATGAAAAATACATATATAATCAATTTATTAGCCATTATATTAGCCATTTTATTTATTGTTACATTAATCATTAAATTAATCATGATAATAACCATGAAATTAATCATTATATCAATCATTGAAATCATCATTATATTATATTAATCATCATATTAATCATTTCATTAATCATTCAATTAATTATTATATAAATATTATCATGATATTAGCCATTATTTAAGTCATTAAATTAATCATAATAAAAATTATTATATTCATCATTATAATAGTCATTATTTTAATCATTTCATTAATCACTATATATTCAACATTATATTTATCATAAAATTAATCATTACATTACGCGTTGTTTTCATTTATATATTCATTAAATTAATCATTATATAAATCATTATATAAACCATTAATTTAATCATTACATCAATCATCAAAATCACAACTATTTTAATCATGAAATTAATCATTTTATTAATCATCACATTAATCATTATAGTAATCATTATATTAGTCATTATATAAGTCATTAAATGACTCATTAGATAAATCATTATATTTATCATTATATGAATCATGATATTAATCATGATATTAATCAGTATATTAATCATTAAATTAGTCATTATATAAGTCAGTAAAAGAATCATTAAAACATATTCATCATTCTATGAATCATGTTATTCATCATTATATTAGTCAATAAATTCAAAATTATATCAGCCATTACATAAATCATTATATTTATCATTATATGAATCATTATAATAATCATTTTATTAAAAACAATGATATTACATTGATCATTATAGTAGTCATTTTATGAACCATGATATATTTTTTAAATAAATCATTATATATATATAATCATTATATTAGTCATGATATAAGTCATTAAATGAAGTTTGGTTTTCCATGTTTTTTTGCAGTTTGGCCTGGGGAGCGCAAGTGTGCAAATTGTAGAGACGCGCATTTTTTTGAGAGGTACACATGGGCAAGGTCTGGGGAGAGGCCTGGCAGGGGACATGGGTCTGAACTTTTTGGTTTTGTTTTTTTTGGTTTTTCTATGGTTTTTTGCAGTTTGGCCAAAACCTCGAGAAAACAAAAAAAAACAAAAAAAACAAAAAGTTCAGACCCATGGGCAAGGTCTGGGGAGAGGCCTGGCAGGGGACATGGGTCTGAACTTTTTGTTTTTTTTGTTTTTTTTGGTTTTTCCATTGTTTTTTGCAGTTTGGCCAAAACCTCGAGAAAACAAAAAAAAACAAAAAGTTCAGACCCATGGGCAAGGTCTGGGGAGAGGCCTGGCAGGGGACATGGGTCTGAACTTTTTGTTTTTTTTGTTTTTTTTTGTTTTTCCATGGTTTTTTGCAGTTTGGCCAAAACCTCGAGAAAACAAAAAAAAAAGTTCAGACCCATGGGCAAGGTCTGGGGAGAGGCCTGGCAGGGGACATGGGTCTGAACTTTTTGTTTTTTTTGTTTTTTTAGGTTTTTCCATGGTTTTTTGCAGTTTGGCCAAAACCTCGAGAAAACCAAAAAAAACAAAAAAAACAAAAAGTTCAGACCCATGGGCAAGGTCTGGGGAGAGGCCTGGCAGGGGACATGGGTCTGAACTTTTTGTTTTTTTTGTTTTTTTTGGTTTTTCCATTGTTTTTTTGTATGTTTTTCATGTGAAGATGCTTTCATCACAGTACCTCTCAAAAAATGCGCGTTTCTACAATTTGCACACCTGCGCCCCCCATGGGTACCCCTTCTGTACATATATATATATATATATATATAGCGTATAAATGCCAGTCACTTCCTGAATTTGGGAATCAACACCACAAGGTTCCGCTGATTTCAATCCATATGGGTGGTTTATGACCTTGCTTAGATGGGCCATGGGATTGGTTCAGTAGTTAGTAAATGGTTAGTAAATGATTAGTAAATGGGATTAGTTAGCATAGATTTACTTAGATAATCCATAATTTATCCAATGATTTCCGCCAGTTACTAACCACTTATAGCCCATCCCATCTGCCCATCTAAGATCATCTGCCCGTACCGTTAGATAAATGGCTTGTAAATCCAGTTATGGAATATTCCTATCATATCCTTCCAGTAATTATATGATCCCTTAACCATCTAAGATCATCTACCCTCTGGTAAACTAACATAACTATGGAAAATCACCATTTTCAATGGGTAAATCAACAATAATAATGGTTATTTTCAATAGCTATGTTAAATTACCAGAGGGTAAGTAACATTTCCCCCAGCAGCCCTCCACTGGGCCTTCTCCTCGGGACTGGGCGCCCTGGGCGCCGCGGCCGCCAGCAGCGCCATGGCGCGGCCGGCGGCCACGCCGGCGGCGCGCCCCGGTGGCGCCGTGGGGCGCAACTCCAAGGGCTCCTGCGCGGCCTCTCTCCTTGGGTGCCCAAGTGATGGCCATGGCCAAGAGATACCATGGTACCTACCTTTTTTTAAGGAATCCTGGTTTTGAGGGCTATGTACTTTGATAATCTTTGAGATATATGGTACCTCCATTTTTGGATCCGGAAAATCCCACTGATTACAGACTCGACCATCAATCCCAGAGTTACTAAAGCAACTTAGGTATGGTGCGCCTTGGTATGGTAAAGGTTCAACGTGGGTAGGATCTTGGACATGGTCTTAGTAGTTTAAAAGTCCAAGTGTAGGTAGCTAGGGAACTCAGGAAGCACCTCAGTATAGTGTAGTAGATGTTGAGTTATGTAGACTTTTCCAAAATATAGATGTGAATGGACTAAGCCTGGACTTGTAAGCGGGTTTGTAAGCTCACTAAGTGCATGAACCACCAAGTAGCGGGTGGAGCACTAGTATCTCTGAGACAAAGACTTTTCTAGTTTTCCATTGCCACATCTAAAACTGCCGTTAGGTACTATATTATGTGCACCCAGAATCAATTTAGCGCCAGTCTCAGAGAATTGCGGGACGCTCAAACATCTCAAACAATAATTCCAACTAGATCGAATTTATGATTACCCTCTGACCCTCTGGCAATTTGTTACATAGCTATTGAACATGATCATAGAAATAGTTGATTTACCCAGCTATTAAATGGATATTTTCCATAGCTTTTTGTATGTTTACAATGTGAAGCCCCCCAATTATAAATTGGTTTAAAAGCCCCAGTAACTATAGGTATTAGTACCATAAACCATAGTTATTGGAGTTATAAACCAACTTAGGTATCTTCGGGGCCTCACATTGTACCAGAGGGTGCAATGGGAATTTCAGGACCCTCGTGGAGAGTCTCTGTACTTTGGACTTGATCAATCCACCGGTCACACCACCGGTGACAAAAGAAGGGGCCCGCAAGCAATAGGTTCACTAGGGAGTCACTAAGGTAACAGTTGGATGTGGATATATGATGTGTATGGTGTATATATATATATTTATATATATGGTGTATATGTATATATGTAGATAAAAATATGTATATAAATATGTATATATATATATGTTGTATATGTATATGTATATATGTAAATGTATATATGTAAATGTAAATATATATATATATATATGTATGTGTATATATATATATGTATATGTATATATATATATATATGCATATATATAATTATGCATATATATATATATAATTATATATATATATATGTGTGTGCACATCTATCATTATTATGATATTTGTTAACTAAAGATATACCCACCGTAAGTACGATCATATCCATCATGATAGGGGCCAATTCTACAAGCCGTTTTATATGTGGATATGTTTCCATCTGTGTATTTAAATGGCTAGCCGCTATCCACCAACAACCAAAACTTGGGGGTGCCTTCTCAACCAAATCAGCTTTAATCACCATTCTATGTTTGATTTTACTGCTGAACCACCATATATATTTATTGGCATATTTCTTCACTAAATATCACTAAATCACCATTTTTCAGAGTTGACCCGTTGACCCCACGTTTTCTTGGGAAAAAAAAACGCATGTTTCATCATTTTTCGTTGCGCAACAAGCCTTCCGAACCCGGGATTTCCAACGCCAAGCTGCGCTGACTCCTCCAGCGCACGGCCTTGCTTCACCGCCAAATGGCAGAGCTGACGCCCCTCCTGGGCGAAGCGGCTGTGCCGCGCCGCCAAGGCCGGCGAACCACACCTGGCGGTTCGAAACACCTGGGAAGTGTGGTATAAATGGTGGGGAGGGAGATATATGTATATATGATATAATATATATATATATATGTGTGTGTGTGTAATAAGAATAATTAATAAGAATAATAAGAATCATATGAATCACAAGAACGGTAACATCATAATAATAATAATCATAGTAATAATAACAATGCACACACATATGTATGTATGTATATATATATATATATGTACATATATCATTCGGTATCTACATGATAGTATATCTAAGGGCCATCTACAAGGTGAGGCCCCCCAGTTTTTAGTTGCTTCAAAAAAAGCCATGAATGCTAAGGTTACATCCCCCATGAACGATCGTCAGGTAATGCAGGCTCCAGAAATTTGGGGTTGGCCAAAATGGATTGTTTGTAATGGAACATGCTATTAAAGTATGGTTAAAACATGGAGAAATACGAAAATGGATGGTTTACAAATGTTTACAATGCCTTGGTTATACACTGGTTTGTGGTTTCAACCTCTGAAAAATATTAGTCAGTTGGGATGATTCTTCCCAATATATTTAAAAATAAAACATGTTCCAAACATCAGTACACCAATCATACATCCCCATTGTATATGACTATAACCCCAGTGACTACCCCATTGATGGTTGGCTGCCCATGATCTTCCCATGGAGGTGTCCGTTCTGTCATGGGGAAACCCCCTTGCAGCCCTTGCATCCAAGTCATGACCTTGGGATCCACAAGAAACTTCCGTATATGCATTGATAAATCATTTGTGATGGATTTAGAAATTAGATTACATTAGATATTAGGTTCTTCGATGTTTAATGATGTTTATATCCGATGTATCCCACATATCATCATCGAAGGGGGATCATATCCAATCACATTCCAACTCCAAGCTGGTTTCTTTTTTCGATGTCTCACGTTCTTTCACTTTCTTTTGCTAGTCAGAGGCTAACCAAAAAACACACGTCAGGATCATTGATTTTCCCAGGGAAGTGCCTGTTGAACACAAAAGCACTCGAAACTTGGACAAAACACTGGGCCACCAAGATGCAGCAGCTGGGTAATCGCTTTTCTGGTTGGCAGTGTCAACCCCCGGAATGAACAGATTTGTTTGAGGAGACTTTCATCCCTGGTAAGGATGGAGATAGTACATGTTTGAACCGCATCAACCTGTTTAGAATAGCGTTTCCTTATGAAGCTTTTCTATCCATGCTAGATCCTGCTAGTGGGGAGGGCCAAATCCAACTCCAAACAGACGGATCAATTCAACCCTCCTCCTCCTAGGATCTCTCAAGTAGGGATGGAACATCTCAACCTGCGACCAGCAACTTCCCCGGCCTGTTGAATTGGCGGCACCTGGGTTTCAAGGCCACCCCAAACGCATCCACCATGGGAACACCAGCAGATCTGGGGCGGGACGGTCGAGCACCTGGTAGGGTCTTCGGGACCATCGTCACCAGTCACCGGTCACCAATCGGGACCGGAATGACTGGCAGCTTTCCACCGGGGCGCTCCATGTTGGCGTCTGGAGCCGGGATCGGATGGTGGTGGTTGATGTTGGATTTTGGTGCGCACTTTGGGAAGTGTTGGGGGTCAGCCGCGCTTTTTTTTGAGACCTGTCCCTTTGTTTGTTTCTACTTGTTGCAGGCAGACCACCATGACAAGAGTTTTCCTGCGGATTCTTTGAAATGGTTCCACCGTTCCACCGCCTTAGTAGCTTGCAACCCACGTATTGAGCCAACATCCAGCACAGCAGCTTCCAACCAACACATGCATGACAACCAGCGTCTCACGAGGCAACCCGTCTGTTTGTTGCCACACATATCAAATGAATTCATGGTCTACATTGTGCACTCTGAAGCCTGGGGTCTCTTGACTCCGCAGCTACATCGCAACTACTGCATTCAGATGTTAATCTATGTGGCTATCCTGAAAATGTGTGTGTGTGTGACATGAACTTGATCATAGTTCACTCTTGGTGTTGCATACTGTGCCATTGCAATCCTTTCCCCCTAGAGCATTTCACCCTGCAAAAACGGCTTTGTCGTGCGAATCCATTGATTGTCGGGCCCAAAGCAGGAGCCATGGCCTCCTAAAGGAGATAAATCAACCTATGGGGCCACGGGATCTTCAAACATGGTGGACTTTGATTATTAGGGTTGTAAATGCATATGAAGCATTATATATATATATATTTCTTTATGACTATATATGTATATAGACACAAACCATGCCATTTTAGAGTCCAAGTTCTACCCTTACCCAACTCTCAGGGGTACAGCCTGTTTTTTTTGCGTTGGACGTCGCGTCCAACGCCATGGGCTTTTGCCCACGGCTGCCATCGAAAAACCTCCGGCAGAATGCCGAGTTGAACGAATCTTCGCCCGCGGCGGGGAATCCAATAGCCAGGCAGAAGCGTCTAAGGAGCGCAATGGTTTTGACATGTTGAAGCTGACTCAACAAAAAGCACATGTCAAAGAATTGAATTAAAGTAAGAAACACATTTGAGCGGGGTTTCATGTGGGACCTCAAAACTGGATGTTAGACTTGATGTGTACATATAAATAACTAAAATGTCACCATGTACAATATGTAAATTACATGTAATATATACATCTACAATACAATGGTATAAATAGACAATAATATATATATATATACATATGTGTTTGTTTGCAACTATATATGAAATTATATAAATTATATATGATATATGTATATATGACCCAATGTAACTTCCATCTTGTTGTACAAATGAAGAAAGGTACTAAGTTGCATGTTTGCCATATTTGTTTTGCATAATGTTTAGGAGTTGATCCTCAAAAGAAACATTATATCAATGCAACATTTTTTCCAGTCAACAGGTTGATTTGAAAGAAACCATCTACAGGAAACCACTTCTTTTACACTTCAAACCTCTGGTTGGCTGCAATTTTCTATAAGTTTTCCCTTTCACCAGTTCTGGGATTAGTAGCTCCGGGCCGTTTTTTTGGCTCATTGACAAAGTAGTGAAATCTCAAAGGAAACAGCTGGTGATGTTTACCCTCTGGTAAACATAGCTATTAAAAATCACCATGTTAATGGGTATATCACATATATATATATATAAATGACAATTTTCCATAGCTATGTTAGTTTACCAGAGGGTAAGCATTCAATATCATCCAAACTTCTTCCGTCTTCCCATTTGATTTACTGAGATCAACCTTGAAGTGAATCACACTGCTCCATGCCTGCTGAGCTTCCGGAGAATTTCAATTCTTTGGTAACACCAAACAATAATTCCAGCCTTCCCCAGCTCAGCTGTTCTCCTCAAGCCATCTATGGCATTTATCATCTAAGATCCATGTGCAACCCAGGGTCACTCTCAAATGCTTCCCAAACATGAAAACAAACAACGCATTTCAAAGCCGGAAACATGGCTTCTACGCTCGTCTTGATTGATGACCTCGCCATTACCATCATAAATTCCTCTTGATGATATCCCAAAACCATCAATGTAGGAAAGCGCAAATAGGGTACACGTTCTTCATTGGGTTTACCACATGACTTGTTGATAGGTGGATGATTTCCCCATCATATTTCATGATAAGCTCCCAATCTATTGCTTCCTTGGGTGATGTATGATAGCACAACTTCACCTTGATGTCCAGCAACTTCATCGAAAAAGGAGCTTGAGGAAGGCCCGTGGCCCCCGTGGCCGCCAAACGACTAGCGTCGCGCTTCCTCCAAAGCCTTGCGAATGCGATCCACGGAGTCCTGCTCCTGAGCAAAGACACCATCCAAGATTGGTCCAGTAGAATGGATCCAGAATGCCATCTGGTTGGTGGTTTCAACAGTTTCAACCCCCCTGAAAAATATGAAAGTCAGATTGGATCATCATCCCAACTATTGGGGAAAATAAAATTCATGTTCCAAACCACCAACCAGCCATAAAGCATCCCACTTGTGTTTTTGTTTGGCATGTAAAACTTGAAAAACCCTACTTGGAATCGTTTGCGACAGCCACAAAAAATGTTGATGACTGGAGATGGTTTATAATCATGCATCCCAGATTGGACAAATAGGGAAAAACTACCGATGGTAGCAACATGTAGCAACTGGTAAGGTGCCTGTTTAGTGTTACTCCCTGTTTCTGACTCAATCAGGTACCCTCTGGTTATTTAACATAGCCATGGTATAGATGGCCCATAGAAATAGATGGTTTACCTATTATAAATGGTGGATCTTTCCATGGTAAATCCCATTAAATTAAATCCCATTAAATCACCATAAAACCTACTAAATCATAGTAAATCCTGGTTAAATAACAATTTTATATCAATCAGGTATATATTGTAGCTTTACATGTTTTGTTGTAGATCAAACATGATCAAACATGACCAAACATGATCACTCGGCAACTGCCAGGGAAGTTGCAGACTCTTGAAACCAGCCAAGGTTTTGACAAAACGGGGTGCCCCAAAACACGTCGGACGATTCATGTTAAACCAGAAATTATTGATCCATAGAAATTATTTGAAATAAACGAATCATTACATAAACGTTTTATTCTTACGTTTAATTATTTGAAATAAACGGAAGTTATAGTTTATTCATAGAGGGTACCAATCGTCCAATAGTAATTGATCCATATTTATCACTATTTTCCTCAGTGCATAGTTATCTCCGTGCCCGTCCTCGGCCAGCTCCGCTTCCTGCTGCTTGGCCCAGTTCTTCAAGTTCTCCTTCACGTCCTTTCCGGCCTGGCGAAGCTGGTGGATGGTTGCGAAATCCTGCACCAGTTGGTAGATGGTCAACGTCGCAGTAGTTTGGATGAAAAACCATCCTTTTGGTATTGCAGGATTTCGCACCCATCCACAGTATATATATAGTACATAAATGTACATAATACATGTCATCGCGGGGCAAGAAGATTCAAATCCGAGATGCAAATAGTGTTGGGGAAACTTCTGGGGCTCACTGAATCAGCCCACAGAGGTGCCACGACAACTGGCCTGCTCGTATTCCTTGTTCCAGGAATCGAAGGCCTTCTCGGCATCAGCCTTGTTCTCGAAGACGCCCAGCAGGTAGCGGTTGCCGAAGGAATCGATGGCCTAGCAACCAGAGGACCCGATGTAATCAGGATTCTGTGGGTCCCCCAAAGTGTCTGAAACCCGCAGCTGTTTTTTCATCATTTTGGTCATCTGAGTTCCCAATCCGCGATACTTTCTTGGGACCCTCAATTTGGCATCTTGCTAGAATGGATAAACTGTGATCTTTTCTCTTGGTAGGGCAGGTGATACCCAGGCTCTCAGACCCCAGTAGTCAATAGATATTTGTAGATATGGTGATTGGAGGGATATGGAGGGATTATCACACTTTATATCACACATTAACCACTGATTTCCTAATCCCACACCAGCTGAGTTGCGGTTGGTGGGGACTTCCCCCAGGTCCCAACGGCGCCGACTGAGGAATTGACCCCCCTGAAACCATTCCACATAAGCCCTTCAGACTGCAATGCCACATCCCAGTAGTATCAACTTCCCAAAGAATAGATCCGATACAATATGTAGGTAAATGGAAGAAAAAACAAGGATTCTTGGGTGAAAATCATGTCAGGAGGAACGGATTATAATTATAATGGGTAAAAAAGGGTTATAGTCATAGTTATAGTAAGTTATAGTCATAGTTAAAACACACCAGCATTTATCATAAATAGCAGCCATATCAATTTTCTTGATCTTATGGACCAGGTTCCCCCCCAAAAAATGCCGGAGTGTGCCACGTCGCCACGTCTTGGCGCCTCGGACTTGTAAAGCTTCTCTGCAGTGCCCCAGCTGTGCTTGAACTCACCTGAAATTCTGCGAAAAAGTCGATTTCTATGAATTCTATCCCCGAATTTGAGATGCACGTTAGATAGATTATACCTAAGAGGCAAAAAGATATGGAGGGAAATATATCCCATAATTTCTATAATCCCATCACCTAAGAGGCAAAAAGATAGATCCAATATGGTCCAATACGAAAAAATGGATTTCACAGGGACAATAGGAATAATTTCATGCACGAAAAAATGCGGGTATGGTCAATTTGCAGGTCCATAATCCCAAGAGGAATGTAAAAGAAAGCGTTGGTGAAACATGATGAAGCCATCGGCCAGATATATGGCTTGGTCATTGGAAGTAAACTTCCATCAACCAAATTCGTTTAGCAAAACAATGGAGCAGCCAAGTACCTGAGCCTGTAAAGATTATACCAAGAACAATGTTGACCTGTGGTCGTGAACACGACTGAACTACCAGTTCTGATTACCCAAAAAGGGAATCTAATATGAATATAGCTATGGACATGCCCCATGAAAATAGATGATATATGATTTACCATGATTTACCTATTAATTTGCATTTGTCACAGCAAACAGTTAAATTACAAAATGGTCCAAAGTGGTAAACCTTCGAACTTTGAAGCCACTTTCCTCTCCCTATATGGAGATCAGCCCCCAAAGGCCGACCTTCAATGACAGCCGGCTCCTTGGCCAAGTCCACCAACATCTCCTCATCCAAGGGAGCCACTGGGGTGTCCATGTGCTTGGGCAGCTCCTTCCAGATCTGCTTCACGATGTCGGCCTGGCCAAATCGAGTGACACCGGCCGTGATGCGAAGCATAGTTTCTGTCATTTCACCTGAATTTCACATGGAATACCATGGAATACCCAAAAAATTGCGTTATTCGTTGTTTGTTCTTTTCGGAAACTTTGAACTTCCTATTCTATCAATTCTTTCAGCGCAATGTCCCCCGCCTCAGCTTTCATTGTGTCATCCACACAGAAAAGTTCTAAATGCACAATCTATGAAAGGTCCAGATCCTTACTCTTGTAATTTTCCCATGTTTCAGCAATCTTATTCATCTTTCTGGGTAGAATGCGGTATGATTTCTTGGATTTGCTCAAGGGGTCCCGCAAAAAATAACACATATTCCATCACAGTCCCTATAGATTCCCCAAATGGTGGATTTTCTAGTAGGAAAATAAACAATCACAACAAAAAACCATGTTTTTTTTGTGGTTTTTGGATGTTTTTTTCGGTGATCCGATCATCCGATCCCCCGATTGGTCCAGGACCTTGGTCTTGCCAGGCATGTCCTTCTGGGATCGGAAGAACTTCTTCAAGCCTGGGCCACTGGGTCGACGACTCGACTCTGATCTGGTAATCTGGTGTATTGTATTGAAAGTCATCGGAGTTTTTGGGGATGTTTTTGGGGATGCAATGGTGATATATTCCTGGTATCTAACGAGATAATGATCTATAGTAAACCCCAAAAGGTCAATCAAACAGTTGGAAAGCTGGATTTGTTTTTTTGTTTTGGTCGGGGAAAGCATCATGGAACTACCATCTTGGAAAGACGTTTCAGCGTCTATTTTGGGGCCATATGAATCAATTATCAGTTTGAACTTTTGATGTTTTGGCTTTTGGACTGGGTTTTTGATTTTGGGTTTGATGCATTCACCCAAAACATCCCAAAACTAGGACTCAGATTCTCCTTTTTGCTGTGCATCTCGGGACAAAAGTTACTAACCATAATCCGGGTTGACATTATATAATTACAGTTGGTCCATTAAGCCCCAATCTGTAGGCCCAATCGGCACCTTCCACGTCCTTCTCCACCTCCGCACGCTGCTTGTAGTAGCCAGCAACCAGCTCCCCAGCCTGCTTCCACCACATCTCATCCAACTCGCTGTCCGACTTGCCTTCCTTCTGAGCCTTGGTGATCCGACAGAAGTTGATCACTTACAAATCACCCAAATGCCAAAGCTTTCATGTATAGCACACATTTTAGTGACCCCAAGATAACCTTTGGCCATGCCCATGATGTACTTCCATCACTTTCCCATATCTTCCCGCGGCCGCCAGCATCCACCAAGTGGCCGCAATGCCGCCGGCGGTGTTCTTCAAGTCATCGATCAGCTTGCGGGGAAGCTTCACGGCAAAGTCCTGGCTGCACCGTGTCAATGTATGGTTGTTGTGGGAACTAGGATGAGCACCCCAGGCCAGAAAAAAATTGGATTTATGGTTTGGGAGATTAAATTCCTTCTCAAAAATGGTCCCATGATGTCCCAGGTGGCTTTCAAGGGAGGTAGCGGCTTCCAAACTGAGAATCTCCTCACCAGCCGCTGGGATCTTGAAACCATCCAACATCTTCTTGATCTTGGCCGCATCAGCTGGGGCAGAAGCATCCTGGCAGCTTAGCAGCTTGGACCTACAAATTCTCTGTTTCTCTCTGCCACCCCTCTCGTTGGAACATATCAACATCTGATGTTACTGTATTTGTCGGCTTCTTTGAAACTTCTCCTCCATGGCTTTCTTCATGTTCTCCAGCTGCTTCACGTTGTTGGTGTGGTTCTCACCATCGTTGGCAAACAGGTACATCTCCTTCAGATGGTTCGACCCTTTTGAGTCACCTTTTGGCATCCCCTGGAACAACCGTGACACATGGCAAGTCAGGCAATGTGGTAAACCCAAAGAAGAATCATCCCCAATAGCGGAAATGTGTGGTATAAACCCTTCAAAGTTGGGGGTTTATGGCATTGGGGCAGAGAAATCTTGTGACACAGTGGACCGCGAACGTCCTCCAAAGGAGCCGAGTTGGGGGCGACCTCGTCCTTGTCTTCGGCCAGCTTCATCTTATCCGTGGCGAAGGACCAGCGGCGGTCCGCATCACGGTCCACTTCGATGACGGCGCGCTTGAGGCTGAAGTCATAAGCCACCTGCTATGGCACAACACAGATAGACTTATATAGTTGCTGGATTCAACCCCTGAAGTGAGTGAAAGTAAGAAATGATTAAAACAACCAACCATAACCAACCAGTAAATTGCATGTAATTAAAGGTTACAAAAAGGTGTCGGGTCGGTAGGACCTTCAAAGCAAACATGTCTGGTGTTGCCATGTATTTCTGCCCTATCAAAAGCCTTGAAGCAAGCCTTGCAATGACCCAACTTGTGGTTCGCAACTTGCGCCCACTACGGGGCTCCAAGCAAATTCAATCACTTTAAGTCCTGGGCCGCAATAGCCAGTGCCCAAGTTGGTTATAGTTACAGTTGGTAACCCCAATAACCCCAAAGAATAGCGATGTCGTCAACCCGGGGCATCACGTCAGTAGACACCAATTCCTACCTGGTTGGCTTTCTTCTGCAGGGCATCATAGTCGGGGGTCTTCATGGCGACATCCTTCTTGTAGTCCTCCCGCTCGTTGTCGAAGAACTTCTGCAAGACCTTTCCGAAGGATTCGATCTTGTCTTCTGAGACGCTCTTCTTGAACTCATCCGAAGCGCGGAACTTCTTGTTGAACTCCTGTTGCATGTGGTCAATCCATGTCAATTCAGCATTTCAGTCAGCATGAGATCAAACATCAGAAAGACACTTCCAACCTTCCAATGCACACAATTTTGGTACTGTACGTGTACCAATGAATGGAGGATGTGATAGCAGCAGCCCCATCACAAAGTGACCCAAGTCTCTTCAGCCAAGATGCATTCTGCGCCTGCTTCAGCAAGAGTGCCTGATCTTCCGAGCTCAAGGTCTCCTTCCAGGCATAGAAGTCATCCTTGAATCCTCTCATGGCCACCTTGCTGCCCCTTGGGGTGGCGCTGTTCATGACGAAGCCGCTCTGACTGGTCACGGAGCTCAACATCCAGGCGCCCAGCGCCAACAGCACCATGGGGAGGAGGCTCATGGAGCGCGCCATGGCTGAGAATTTCTAAAAGTTGGAAGGAGCTACGACCTCAACAGCTTCCTGATCATCCGAAAGGCCCGAAAACATGCAGGCTTTCTTGACGAGAACTGTAGCATGCTGGTACATGCGGTACCCCTTCCAAGCGAGGCGTCATATTTTTTATGCACAAATGAAACACGAGGGAACCACTCGATCTCTTGATTGAACTTCGATCGAGATGTCTTCTGGACACCTACTGGCTGCTGGTTTCAACCCCGAGAGCATCCAATCATTGGAACGCCCGTCAATTTTGATCCTAATGGCCTAATTGATCTGACATTCCAAAATCATGCAAAATCAACCGCTTTTAAACCAGCAAAACCAGGCTCTACTTGATACGATTGTATCTGCGCAGCAGTCCATAAGTCACCTCAACACCAACCACTGACATGACACCTTCTCGAAAAGCCTCATCAATTGGAAGATCACCTTGCAACATAGATTCGAAGATGGCTTGCATCACTTTCCTTGGAGCTGATGGGGACCACTGGAAAATTGGTCTGAACTTCTGAACCATTGATTTCTCTTGCAAATAGGTGAACATTATGACAAAATATGACGAAATCATGTTGTATCATAAAAATGTGCCAAGAATGTGAAATAATTTGAATTGAAAGGTTGCTTCTCCCCAGCTCGACCCTATACCCTTAAACCTCAACATTGGTCAATGGTGAAAAGATATGATAAGACCATATAAGACCCAGGGAACCGCAATATTTTTATCGTAGATGTTGATCATATGTTGATCGGTTTTAGTGTTTTACTGTCACATGTTTGAGGAAAATTTTGCACCACGACCACAACCATCTATTGTTACCATCCACTCCCGTACAAGAGATAAACCACATAAACCGCAAATCTATTCTACCCATTACCCATCCATCAATGCCGGGGGGAAACCACCAGTCAAACAATCCATCAATTCTAAAGCAATCAATCATCCATCTTCTTTTTACGTTCAACACATAAACCGGACCAGGCACCTAAATGTAGGATATCGGAATCGGAATATATCCAATATCCCAATCCAATACCTTCATAATTGCGTTTTTCCTCCAATTTCCCAACATCAATACACCAACACAACCATACAAATTAATAAGAAATAAAAAACACAATAAATATCAAAACAAACCAAACATATGTATGTATATATATATATATATTCATCTCCAATAATATCTCAAAAAAAAACACATACCATCATCCATACCCCAAAAAAGTTGCTGCCCTCCCGGTGATGTGGGTTTAGTTACAGCCTCCAGCAGCTTCGCAGCTCACCGAGCCACGGACCCTGGGAGGTGCCCAGTTTGAGGAACGGCCGCAGCGTGGCCGCCGTGATGGGCAGCTGCGCCTGGCGCATCTCGCGGAGCCGCTGCCAGGCCGCGCGGACGTCGCCGCTGACGCAGTGCGCCTGGATCACCGCGGCATAGCTGAAGGCGTTGGGCTGGAGCTGCCGTACCGGCATGGCCTGGGAGATCTCAGGGGAAAGATTTAAAGGACATGGGTGGAAACATCTCTGGAAAATAAAGGTTGAAACATGAAACCTGAGAAGGGGTGGAACGAAAGCCAGCGCTTGCTTTTTGACTCGCGCGGGGGCGCGTGAAACTCCACCTCATCCATATTGCATGGCTCAAACATGAAGCGCCCCAACATCAACAATTGCTATCGGGTCATAATTTTCCAATCATTAAATGGACCTTTTTAGGGTAAACTCCACGATTTTGTAACTTCTATATCCAAATATGTTTCCTACAATGTACAGCGGCATTGTGAAAAGTTCTATCTCAAGTTCCGTAAATCCGCCTTTGGTTGCTCATTTATCTTAAAACAGCGCAAGTTTGCTCCCACCTATTGTAGATAAATAATACCCGTGTGTGAACAGTGGTCATGTGACCTCTCAAAGTCTAAATTGTTTTCTCCCCAGAATCGTGGTCCATGCTTCTCCGCGAAGTTCCGCAACATTTTGGCCGTACGGTGAGAAATCAAATATAGCTCTACTCGCAAAATGGGCAGTGCAAACCCAAGACAATATTATAACATACGTAAGAAAGGGTATAAGAACGAATGAAAATCGAGGAAAACAATGCAAAACCCACGGGAAATATAGAACAGTGGCGAACATGCAGTCCAAATCAAAAGTATATATATTTAGGCCATTTACAGACCTGGGTACCCCCCCCCACCCCCCAAGGGTCTGGAAAATAGGTATTTTACAGGAAATGTCGTGGAATAGCATCATCCCTGACATCGATAGAGATAATTGTTTGGCATCCCGGAAAATCTTCTCAGCTATCCCACTCGCCAAACATCCCTTTTAAAAGGCACACATACTATCACGGACGTACAGATGCATATCATTCCCGTCATTGCCATTAGAAGATTCAAATTCTTTCTCGATGTTTTAGTACAAGATTCACTTTTAGTTCCGTTTCAGCCTTCTCAGTACGGCCTCTTACACTGATATTACAGCATTTGTCTCCTAACCTAGGTGGCTCCTGGGCGCAATCTTCATTCCAATGCCTTGTGACAATGACCAGAGGCCTGGAGCCTATGCATCACTTGACAGTCGACTCAGTTCTAAACCGGAAAGACTATTCCTTCCGTTTACCAGTAGATCGTTTTTGTAGTTCTTATCACAAAACTACCAGAATCAGGGAGGCACCAAAAAACGTCAAACAGTTTTAAGCATTATAAATACTCTAATCTGCAGATTGTATTTATTTTTCTTACTCTGTGAACGAAATCACACTTTTCTAACTTCACACAGATTACCATGAAACCAATTTTCCCATGCAACTCCTAAAATCTTACAACTCATACATCTTTTTTCCTATACCATCCGCATCTTGCTCCAAGGTTTCATGGCAATGTCTTGTACGCGAGTCAGCCACTATTTCCTATCACCAAACTACATTGCTCATCATCTAACATTATCTACAGAAACCAAATCGGATTTCCTGCTCAACGTTTCCGCTCGTTAACATTGTCTTGGTTTTCACTATATTTTTAAAGCATTTTTAGATATAACATTTTCCTAGGTTTTCACTGTATTTTTCTAACATGTTACATGCCTCCTAGCATGTTCACGCGTGTCCTCCATGTTGTACTGTTTTCTACATCGTTTCCTCTAGTTGTTACAAGCATTTCCTAGCTTGTACACCGTTTTCCTAATATTGTCACAACTTTTCTTCCAGTTTCCACTGTTTTTTCTACCGTTTCCTGTGGTTACTTTCTTCTCTTTTGTAGGTTTTCACTGTGTTTTGTCCAGCTTTTTTTATTACATGCTTCCTACCATTTTCACCGCTTTCCTCTATGGCTTTTTGTACCATTTCCTCTCGTTTCCTGCATTTCATGCATTTTCAATATATTTTTCCAAGAGTTTTACCCGTCTCCTTCAGTTTCCGATCGTTTTTGCACCATTTCCTCTGGTTGTTATCGCATTTTCCTGCACTTTCACTGTATTTTTCCAGCATGTTTACTGCATCGTCATAGTTTGTTCCTAGCAGTCGCTCCGGGTTTCCTCCATGTTCCAACAGATTTTGCACCCTTTATTCTGGTTGTTATCACATTTTCCTGCCAAGTTGTTATCACATTTTCCTTCACTGTATCTTTCCAGCATTTTCCAGTGGATTTTGCACGATTTCCTCTGATTGTTATCATGTTTTCCTGCAGTTTCTATATCATCTATATCCTCTTCGTGGGTTTTCAGTCTATTCATGCATTTTTAATCTATTTTTCCAAGATTTTTACCCGTCTCCTTTTTGCACCATTTCCTCTGGTTTGCTGCATTTTCAATGTATTTTTCCAAGAGTTTTACCCGTCTCCTTGATTTTTCCGATCGTTTTTGCACCATTTCCTCTGGTTGTTATCGCATTTTCCTGCACTTTCACTGTCTTTTTCCAACATGTTTACTGCATCGTCATAGTTTGTTCCTAGCAGTCACTCCGGTTTCCTCCATGTTCCAACAGATTTTGCATGGCTTGTTCCTAGCATTTTCCTCTGATCGTTATCATGTTTTGCTCAAGTTTCATTGTATTTTCCAATACATCCTCTTCGTGGGTTTTCAATATGTTTTGTCCAGCATTTTTTTACTACATGTTTCCTATCATTTTCACCTCTTTCCTCCATAGGTTTTTGCACCATTTCCTCTGGTTTCCTGCATTTTCATACCTTTTCAATATTAATATTAATCCAAGAGTTTTACCTGTCTCCTTCATTTTCCGATCCTTTTTGCACCATTTCCTCTCGTTGTTATCACATTTTCCTGCACTTTCACTGTATTTTTCCAGCATGTTTACTGCATCGTCATGGTTTGCGCCTAGCATTCGCTCCGGTTTCCTCCATTTTCCAAGGGATTTTCCATGGTTTGTTCCTCGCATTCGCTCCGTTTTCGTCCGTTTTCCAGGGGATTTTGTACGGTTTCCTCTGATCGTTATCATGTTCTCCTGCAGTTTCATTGTATTTTCCAGTGCATCCTCATGGTCTTTCCGGCCACCAAAAAGGCGGACCTAGGGGGAATCGATACCCCACCGTCAGCAAATTGCCTAGTGGTACTTAATCCAGCAAAATGCTCCGTTTTCTGGCGCTCAACACAGGGGCACGGCGAGATTTCGTTCCCTTTCGGCAACCACCCCCCCCACACCCCCTATTCTCACTTCGTTCGCAAACAGCAACTAGCCAGCTAGCTGGCTTTCGTAATTTAGAAATGTGGTCATAGTGATTGTGGAAAGTGCCTGGGATGGATCACCAAGCACTTGAAGGTCACTGTAGTCACTAGGATTTCTCCAGATTCTACCTCCAAAATACCCAAGAATAATTGTGCGTGGGGCCTGTTCGAGTGGAAGTTTATAGACACATGCAATCAAAACATTGCAACCACCGGCCAAAATAATCTTAGTAATATCCCCATTCAACACATTCAACAGTGGAGCCAGTGTCTATCCCAGCGGCTGTGAAGAGGTTTTCTGCCTCGGCTGCATCACCTGCAGAATTTTTGTCATGGTGGCCGTGGGTCAGCTCATTGGGGACTAACATGTGGAGAGTAGAATTTCAAAAATTAAGAACAGCAATGTGGGTAAAACAAAAATGAACCACTCATTTGGGAATGTGGTATACCACCTACTATGATTTGGGGCATGGTTTATGATTGTTTTACCCACAAGGTTTTTGGTTCAAACCGCCCTTTTCTCAGCCAAAGATAGGGGCGCCATTAACCTTAGCAGGGTTAGTTCCGGTGTCTTGCCCTGCGGGTTCTCGTGTTTGTCGCTCGACTACCTTGTGTAACCGGATTGTAGGTTTGGGGTTCTCCTGAAAACCCCTGCGAATATTTTGCATTAGCTGCTCTTGACTGAGCCTCTTGCAATTTGGTCAAATTTTGATTTTCTGGCTCATTGGACATTTGGTGGGGTTGATTACAGCCATTTTGATCTTTGGGTTCATTGACATTTGCGTTGCTTTTCTGGCACTGCGGGGGCCGACAATCGGCGTTTCATTCACAGTTGATTTTCCTGGGTTTGGACTGCTTCGAGGTCTCCGCAGACAGATTTGCATTCACCTTTTGGCCTGCATCTAGTGAATGAGTTTTCTTCACGTTTTGCTTGCACTGGTCATTATTTTCACACATTTACACGATTTTGCAAATTCAAAATTTCAAATACATTGCGCCGCAAAGAAAGGCGCAGGCGTGCCATTGCAAGAAGGCAGTGGTATTTGCACAAGACAGGAAAGATTTGTCTGAACTCTGCCTCATTGATCAGAGTACGGAACATTTTTACCAAACATCATTCCAGGGACTCAAACTTTTTGAGTCGGATCCGATCAGAAATTCACAAAATGACCTCAGAAGAGATTTACCCATGGGTTTGTGTGTGTGGACGGCTCAACAAGAAAACTGCCATGACATGCGTGATTTGTTGGCAGCCCTGGACATGCGGAACCAAACACGATGTCACACCGAAGCAGAAGTCTTATGGCGGAAATGCTCAGTGAGAGGAATGGAGCACATGGGAGACATGGGCGGATGCAAATCGATCAGCCCGCCAGCCGACGCAGTCGCCAAGAGCGAGACAGCAGCAGCAGGGAAGTTACTCCCCCAGAGGACGCAAAGGGAAAGGAAAGAACAAAGGAAAAGGGAAGTCCAAAATGGAATTTTCCAGCAGTCCTTTTGGCGCAGGCAAAGGTGGTTCTGTGCCATTGCCGCCCTGGCCAGTATGAACCGGAAGTGTCAGCATCGCCTTTCCAGTCAGCACAGGCGAGCAAAACCTCGACGATGCAAGAAATGGCTGTTCATTTGCGGCAGGCCTACAAGGACTCAGAGCCTCCCTTGGAAGTCCAAGCCTTCTTAGAGAAGGCAGACAAGGAATCCAGTCGGAACAATATCAAGTCCCTTCAGGCAGCTACCAAGAGTCTGGATCATGCACAGAAAGCCCTCAGAGATGCAATCGCAGCCAAGAAAGAGCATCGATTGCAATGGACCAAACATGTCGGAGAGGGGATCAAAATTTGGGAAACGCAGCTCGAGAGCTTTCGCGTTCACCAAGCAGCCCTGTCCGAGAATGCAACTCGCGCCAGAGCAGAAATAGAATCATCCCGCAGGATTTTGAAAGAGGTCAGCGAAAATACCGTCAGGGAAGGTGGCATTTCAATTCCTCAGCCCATTCAGGAAGAATCCGAAGATGCCAGTCAGGACAATGTTGCAGACCCAGAGGAACAGAAGCTCAGGGACCAGCTGCAGGGTGTGCTCAATGCATGCGCAGGCTCCTTGGGCATCTCAGTGGATTCAGCCGAAGCCAAAGTGCACGAGGTTTCCGACGAGGAAACAGACAAGACGCCTGCGATCAAAAGGCCAAGATCCATAGAGCCAGTGAAATCTGGCTCGCACAAGCAGTGATCTGTGGCCGTGGGGCACCAGTTCCCAAGAATGGGTCCCATGAGGCCTGGCCTTATATGTTTCCTAACGGCCATTCTTTGACTGGGGAATGGAACTATTTAAGTCCAATGTCAGCAGTTTGGCAAGCATGGAGTTAACTTCGCAGTGAATTAGTCTTGCAGATGATATGTCAACAATGTACTCATCCTAGTTTGCATTCTCATGCACGTGCTCCCGATTTTCCAATCCAGCCGCTGGTTTGCTGTTCTCAAGAGCCACATCATGTTCGTCGCAAGTCAAGGCGTGTTCATTTTGATGACTTATATTGAACTTCAGATTGGCATGGACGATTCCTGGCAGATGTACAGTACTTTTGTGGTGCATGATGTTTTGCAATTCTGGGACGAGAAACCATGGTCCTATACGCCACTACCGAAAAGCTTCTTGTATTCTTGGAGAAAGCTCACCAATTTGGTTTTTCCATTTGTTGACTTCTCACTTGATTGTGGTGATGAGAAGGATTCCCTTGAGGAAATTGGCTCTCCGTATCAGCATGATCCTGCCGCTTCAAAATGTTCTGTTGCGCCGCTCTGTCTTGCCGACAGAAGTTTGGTTATGTCAGACTGGATATTGAAGCTGAAGAGGATCGCCTCTCTCCGACAAAACACCGCTGCTTCAGCGGATGCAAGATGTGAAATGCCAGTACAGGTATGGGTGATTGATAAGCACAAACAAGTTCACTGCAAATTGCCTTGTATAAAATAATTGTTCTTTCATCAGATGCCTCGTCCTGGACTCAACAGATCAAAAGTCACTGGCAGAATTTCTCTCAATTTGTTGGTGAAAATGCCGTTCGAGTTGTGAACTATATCTTGCCAAATGAATCACATGATGCATATTGTGCCGAATTGATTTTGACATCGCAACCAGATGCTTGCTCTGTCTTGGTGGTTGTTCGAACGTGTCAAAGTTGCTACCAGCATTGATTGGGAAGCTTCAACGGATGATTTGATTCAGCACGCTTCTTCCATTGCCAAGGGCATTGGTTTGCACAACATTGTCTCTTTTTGCTTCCCGTATAACGAGGAGGCTTGTCAGAAGTTGTATGATGGTATGTGTATCGAAGTTGTTGCTTTTGACAAAAAATACAAGACGAAATCAAAACGAATAGATGACAACGTTCTCAATGACATCACCAATTTGGCCGGTCCTTTGGTTGGTGCTCCGCAGTCAGCAGTGGCCGTGTCGAGCTCTCCAAAGATGTCAGGGTCAAGGAACGTACACAAAGAAAATTCTCAAGTTCAAATGACAATCCCAAAGAAGATGCGTGAAAAACCTTCTCATGATTCGGATTTTACTTCGATTATGCAAAGACCATTCCCAGAAAAAACTGATTTCAAGACATCTCCGTTTGGTTATCAGCAAGAGAATATGGTCTCAGCATTTCAACAAGACCGAACAGGAACGGGGGAATGGGGACATGGTGATGAAAGCCCTGAATCGCCTGAACCAGATGACCGTTCGATCAGTGACAACGATGCTTCTTCCGTTATTCGTCCTCCCAGTTCAAACGAGGGTCGGCAGGAAGTTGTGCTCTTTCACTTAGATGATCATCCAATTCGAGCCTATATCAACTGGAACAGTTATGAAGAAATGATGCATGACATTGCTTTTACCTTTGCGATCGAGAGAGATGCATTGGTAGATGCTTACGAAATTGCTGCTCCGGTTTCAGATATAGGAGATGATGCCGTACCAACCATCGCACATATAGTTGATGACATACCACTTGGACGGGCCGATAAGCTTGTTCTGTTTGACGTCCAGTATCATGCTCATATGATTGAGCTCAATTTTCGACTGGGGCCTGTGGTCATCCGCTCCGTTATTCCGGTTCCACCATTTTCGGTGAGGAATGACATGCTTAAAGCTGCAAAAGTGGATCGATTTTGTCGTGCTGAAAATGACCGGTGTTTGGTTTTTCTCAATGAACAAAGATGGCCAGACTACGACGAGGCTCCAAGGGTCATCTCCAACGCTGATTACGTCAGGATAGCAGTTCCACCATCGGAAAGATTTGCATGCTCAACCATGACCCTGGCGGATTTGATTCAACAAGGCAGTTCGGATCAACAGATCCTGGATAAAATTCACGAAGATGAAGCAGTTTCCAATGTCTCTCCTAGCATGTTGAACGATACTGAAGTGAGGGCTCTTGCACCCGCAGTGTCTCATCAAGCTGAAGATTTGCAGAACATTGTAGATATGCTTCCATTGAATCATGAGCTTCTTGGTCAGAACGGTCATGATGGGGAAGCTACATCGGATGTTTTCCAAGCAATGATTGGATTGACCGTTGCGCCCAGTGGATCAAATGAGTCACCTGATGACGATGCTGATAGTTTATCTCCCATCACAGAAGATTGGCTTCTTGATCTTCAAAGAGTCGTGCAAGGCCACATCGACAACTGTCTAGAAGATGAACATCAAGAATTCATGTTTTCGGTTTACACGTGGCTGGTGGATCACGACAATATGTTGCTCTGTAGAGAACCGAAGATAGCCATTCTTGGAGGCGACCCATCAGAATGGGCGGAAGATATCATTGATCCCTGGAAGTTCCATATTGCCCCCAAAGAACATGTGTTCTATGACCTCGTGTCTCCATTTGTGCAAAGGATTGGAATCGAGGACCACATAGCACATATCATATTGACAAAGAGGATGTCTGATCGTTCATCAGTTTTGGTTACCCTCAACTTTCTACAGAATTCTGGCCCAAGTGTGATTGTACGTTTTGCAACAGTATTGCCCAAGGAATGCAACTTCGCTGACGTTACAACTGCAGTACCACTGTTGGCCTCATTTTTGTTGAACAACATTGAATGGGAGTTTCCTACCCTGAATGAGATTGATCAGCATTTCCAAACGAGACATGGCATGGGAATCCAAATCAAGATCTACCCAGATGGTTACGATCAGGGACCGCTACATGACGGAAACAGCCTTATTCAGCTTTCTCCTGGTAATGTCATCCAAAGTGACGCATATGGCCTTGTTCAGGCAAACCAGATTTTCCAAACAAGAACAGATAGCACAGTCACCTGCAGTCTC